TATTTCACTCAGCATAATGTTCTCCAGAGTCAACCATTTTGAATAATATTGCATGAGTTCCTTGTTTTTTAATGCAGCATAGTATTCCATTGTGCGAATATACCACAGCTTCTCTAGCCATTCGTTTGTTGATGGGCACTTAGGTTGTTTCCAACTCCTTGCTATTGTGAACAAAGCTGCAATAAACATGGGTGTGCATATATCTGCTTGGATGTCAGCTATGGTCTCTTCAGGGTATATTCCCAGTAGTGGAATTGCTGGGTCAAATGGTATCTCTATTTGCAACTTTTTGAGAAAGCGCCATACTGCTTTCCACAGGGGTTGCACCATTTTACACTCCCACCAACAGTGAATCAGGGTTCCAGTTTCTCCACAACCTCGCCAGCATTTGTTGCTTGCTGTTCTGTTAAATTTTGCTATTTTGACTGGGGTGAAATGATATCTCATAGTTGTTTTAATTTGCATCTCTCTTAGGGCTAGGGATTTTGAGCATTTCTTCATGTGTTTGTTAGCCATCTGAATGTCGTCTTCGGTGAAGTGCCTGTTCATATCCTGTGCCCATTTTTCTATTGGATTATTTACCTTTATCTTGTTGTGGTGCTCAAGTATTTCATAAATTCTGGATATAAGTCCCTTATCTGATATGTTATTATTCTAACCAACTCTGAAGGGAGCTCTGGTGGCGTAGTCCATAGAGAGTTGTGCTGCTATTGCAAAAGCTGAGCCTCTCTGGTGGTTCAAATCCACTAGTCACTGGGAGAGAGAGGAGGAGACAGAAGGAAGGAGGAGGAGGGAGGAAGATGGACAATTTTTTCTCATGCAATTTACTGCCTTGGGAAACCTGCTGGAAGGTCAGCTAGGAGTTGGTTCTGATGCAACAGAAATGAAAGTGACAGGGTTAACCAGCTCTGATATGACACATATGCTACTGATTCTTGGCTTACACATTGGTGAATGTGTGCTAATCCCACAAATAAAACTCACAAAGGTCATGCTCCAAAACATACCTGTGGCCAGAGCCTGTCAATGATAGTAAATTTGCAAAAGGATGACAATTAGTGAAGCCAGATTAATATACAGAGAAGAAAGGCATTCTTCATAAGAATTGGTGCTTGGGTTCCCTCCCTCTGTGTCTTTCTTTCTTCCTCCTAACCTCACCCCTGTCTGGTGAAATAGCTTCAAGAGACCACTGAAGAACTTTCCATGAGACTTCTGAGTTTGGAGGAAGCTGAGACCTGAAAAGGCTGAAAATAGCAGCTGGCGGGTCCCGCCAGGCTGCTGAATGGGAACATAGACTTTTCTGGGGAGAAGCTGCACTATGAATCCTCCATCAGTCTGTTTCCTGGGAACCACTCATGGTATTCCAAGAAAAATATGCTTGCATGAAGTCATCTAAAACAAATATTCCTTAGACAGTAACCAGACCCTGACAGAGGGTGTCTGTGTGGGGTGGACCACAAGGTGCCAAGAAAGAGGCAATTACAAGCAATCAGCCAACCTAGCCAAAGGAGAATCTTTCCAATTCTAAGGCAGTCAGAGCAAGAAAGCCCTGCAATGTTCCTGAATATGAGAAGAGCCATTTAAATCTGTGCCCGTCAGAAGAAATCAATGCCAAATTACATGAGTGCAAGTCAAGCAGGGTTATTCTTTCTTTTGACTTCTCCCTCCTCCCCTGCATCCTCGCAGGATCTAAAAGCAAACTAGAAGAAGCAGAGGAGGTGGGACTAGAGATGAGGCTTGGCAAAGGACAGTGCCATTTTTCCCTACAGGGAATGTTTCATAATAAAGCAGTCCCTACCTTATCTGGGAGAGAAGTCTGAACTTGGAATGAGAGTCTAAATTTTGATCTTTGCCTAAAAGGCTGTTTGTTGCTGTTAGGTGACCTTAAATCAATTATAACTCATAGCATCCCAATGGACAGTCAGTCTGAACTCTGTTCTATCCTGGAACATCATCATCATTTCTCATGCTCTTGAGTCCACTGCTACAGTCATTATGTCAATCCATGTTGTTGAGGATCTTCTTCTCTTTTGCTAACCCTCCACTGTTCCAAGCATACTGTTCCTTTACAAGGAATAGCTCTCCTAACTACATGCCCAAAACATGTAAGAAAAAAACTTTGCCATCCTTGCCTCCATTCTGCCTGCATTGTTTCCAAGATGTATTCGTTTGTTCTTTTGGCAGTCTCTGAGATATTCTGTACTCTTTTACAACACCACATCTCAAAGGAATCAATTATTATCATCTTTCAGATGCATAGTAAGTGGTCAAAAAGACCATGGTTTGAATCAGACCACCTTTGTTTTCAAATTTACATCTTTATTTCTCAGTAATTTAGAGAGGTCCCTGACTGCAGGATAGCCCAATGCAATACATATCCTGATCCCCTAACTGCTAGTACCAAGGGTGCTGATTGTGGATCCAAGTAAGATGAAATTCTTGACAACTTCAATCTTTTCCTCCATCTTTCATGACGATGCTTATTGGCCAGTGGTGAGATATCTGTCTTCTGGATGTTGAGATGCACTCCATGTTGAAGACTACATTCTTTGATCTTCTTCTGAAGCTATAATTTTAAGTCCTCCTTTTCAACAAGCAAAGTTTCTTCATTTGCATAACACAGGTTGTTGGATGAATCTTCTCTGATTCTGATGTCCCAGTTTTCTTCCTAGAGTCTAACATTTCAAACGATTTGCTCAGCATACACATTGAATCAGTATAGAGAAAGGATATAATCTGATACACACCTTCAATGATTTTAAACTGTGCAGAATTTTACTGCTTTGCTCAGAAAATAGCCTCTTGATCTATGTATAGTTTTCACATGAGCACAAGTAAGTGTGCTGGGATTCCCATTCATGTCAATGTTAGCTGTAGTTTGTTATGATCAACACAGTCAAATGCCTTTACCTAGTCAATAAAACACAAGACATTCTTCTGGTATTCTCTTCTTTCAGTCAGAATCCATCTGACATAAGCAATATCTTTGGTGCCATAGCTAGACAGAGTTATTCTAAACTGACATAGCCTAGAAATCTAGATTGCAGTCGGACAATTTGTGACCAGAAAATGATGGGAAATGTAATGGACCTTGCTGGAGATGTCGTCTAAGAGTTAGTGTGGTCAATCAATATCTACAGATGCTCAAGTAGTCAAAGGCTTTCACAGAATAAAATAGATTTCTGTGTCCTATGCAGATGACACAACCCTGCTCGCTGAAACTGAGGAGGACCTCATGCACTTACTGCAGAGGGTCAAGGACTGCAGCCTTCAATATGGACTGAGGCTCAATGTCAAGAAGACAAAAATTCTCACCACTGGACCAATCGGTGTTTTGTATGTAGTTTCCTGGGAAAGGATGGATCTGGCTCTCCATCTTCCTCTAAGCGTCAATGCTGGATGGAGACTCTTATGGATGCATTTACTTTTCTGTGCTTTTTGAAAGTATTAAAAAACATGAAATTTGTAAAAAATTATTTTGTACTCAATATTGGTGAGATGATTTTGACCTAATGACCCTAGGAATGGAGAGAATGAGTGCACAGGATTTATGAGGATGGCGAAGAAGAAGAAGGAGGAGGAAGAGAAGGCGGAGGAGGAGAAGGCAGACGAGGAGGAGGAGGAGGAGGAGGAGGAGATCTTCCTCTAACAGAGCTTCCGGGTGAGTCCAATTTACCAACCTTTCATTTAGCAACCACATACTTATTCACCCATTGTGCCTGCAGGGCTTCTTATTATCAAGCCAAGAGATGCATAAGTATTAAGATCAGGGTATTCTCTCTTCCAAATTATGATTTGAGGTAGAATTCAATATGATTTCACATGAACTCACTGCCAAATAAAGTATGAGCAATGACTACAAAACTAGTCTAAAAAGAAATGGCAAATGAAGCTTCCTTAACTTCCAGTGAAATGTAGTTTCAAGAAATGAACAAAGTGGTCAAGATTTTAAAAGGGAACTCTAGTAGCACAGTTCATGTCATGTTGTTTTGCTAACTCAAAGGCTGTGCATCCCAGTTGCTTGAATCTACAAACAGATGCTTGGGAGAAAGATAAGTGGTCTCCTCTAATAAAATTTGTAGCTTCAGAATCTGACAGAGGGTTAATTACTCAGGAGTGACAGAGAGAATGTGTAATATAGGTACCTATGATGTTAAGACTAAAGTTAGATTATAACCATTACCTTAAACCACTCTGATCTCCAGCTACCTTAACTGCAGACACATGGTCTTGTAAATTATCAACAGCTGTGGGACTAGGATAACAGAGAAAGTGCTTCCCACACTGAGCAGTATGACTTGAGGAAGACTGGAGTGAGACCCTGGGGAGAACAAGACTCTGGTGGTGAGACTCTGGTGATGGTGACAGAGATATTGTGGCACTGCTGTGGAGAAACTGTGTGGCAAGTTGTAACCAGAGAAGCCTTGAAATAAGGTCACAGTTAAAGGTTTTGCTGTGCTTGCTGGATAATTAAGGAGAAGCACACTTATAAATGCTCTGAGGAACTACTTTGCTGGATGATTGAGGAAACCAGAGGCTTCTTCAATTTGTGTCGCTGAACTGAAAATGGAGCCTGGACTACTGAGGAACTGTGCTTTGGGACTGCTGGCTCAAAACCTAGATTTGGCTTGGGTAATACTCTTTGCCACTCCCACTCTCCAACTTATTTTACTAATAAACCAAATTCTCAGTACCACAACGGTGAGTAAAGTCTGTGAGTTAACAATAAATAAATGAACCTCCTGCTGCTGGTGAGGCTCTGGATGCACCATGGAACTGAGCTGCGGACTCTTTATCTGCTTTCTGCTGTGGGCCACTGAGGCCGTGCTATTTTCATTCCTTTCTGGCCATGTCAGAGAGACACTCACAGCCTTGCATTCTCATGCCTTATTTTCTAAACTCTGGACCACACCAATGAGTTTTAGACTTGCAAGTGTTCTTAATTATTTTGCATTTAACAATTCAAAAATTGGTCAGAAATATTGGTATTTAATAGTTACCTTTTTGGCAGGTTATAATTTTTCTCTGTAGCTGTAGGCACAAATCATTGAGTTGATCAGCTTGCCAGTATTTTAAGAACACTTTGCGAACTCCCATCTAAAATACAAACAGCAAGGAGACATTTAACAGCATAAAGATGCCAAAATGTTGATAAGAAAATAATTAGCAAGAGTTTTCATTCAGAAGTGGATTAAAAGAACCAAAACTAATGCAATTGATTTCAGTACATTTCTCATATTTTTAAGTTTATCGCATTTAATTAAAATATCAAAGATTTATTTATAATAAAAAACATTTTTTGTCTATACCCATGGTTATTAGTGCTTGCAAATGCTTACACACCATAGTTGTGGTGCATTTATCCTGAAGTGCAAAAGGAAACACTGACCTTGACCGTGATCAAGAATTCATTATTGCACATTTGCTCCTCCCAGCCCTCCCCCAGCCTACCCCAAAATGCACCCCTTGTTCCAGATTATAATCGTACATATATAATGCATACTTATATATTCCTTCTGGACAGTTCTAATGCAGTGCTCATTGTCTGCCCACAAATTTTCCATTCTCTCCACAACATCCCCCATGTCCATCCTATTTTATTAACAGTGGTGTTATAAAGTATCTTTCCTTTCATGACTGAGATATTTCACTCAGCATTATGTCCTCCAGGCTCCCCTGTGTTGTATAATATTTTACTAGTTCATTGTTTCAATGACGGGTAGTATTCAACTGAGTGACTGTACCACAGTTTTTATATCCATTTGTTTGTTCACAGGCACTTGCGTTGATGCCATCTTTTTGTTATTATGAATAACACAGCAATTACCATGGATAAGCAAACATTTATTTGACTCTTGGCTCTGGTTCTTTGGAGTAAATGCCCAATAGCAGAATTGCTGGGTCAAATAGTATTTCTTTTCCCAACTTTTAGAGAATGTGTCAGATCACTTTTTATAGCATTTGTACCATTTTTCATTTCCATCAGCATGAATAAGAGTTCCAATCTCTCCACAACCTTGCCAGCATTTATTGTGTGCTGCAATGTTGAACTTTGCTGTTGTAGCGGGGGTGAGATATCTCATAGTTGTTTTGATCTGCATCTCTGTGATAGAGATTTTGAGCATTTCTTCATATGTTTGTTTGCCACCTGAATATCTTTTTTGGTAAAATGTCTATTCATATAATGTGCCTATTTTGTGATTGGGTTGTTGACCTTTTTCTTGTTGAGGTTTTAGTTTATCTATACATTTTAGATATAGATCCTTTATCAGATATTTTTCCCAAATATTTTTTCCCAGTCTGTGTGTTTCCTTTTTTCCTGTTTGAGGAAGTTTTTGATGTGCATAGGAATTTGATTCTTAGGAGGTCTCATTCATCTGTTTTATGCCTTCCTGGTTGCTAGTTTAAGGGTGACTGAGTTTTAAACATGAAAATAAAACATGAAACAGATATATGAAATTGTTAACTCTTTTCTACTACACCTTATATTATCATAAATTAAATGTTTCTAGAACTGCAATTATAGAACTGAAAGGCAAAATTAAAAGCCTCTACAAATCGTCCTTGAGCACTAATCTTCTCTGTGTGTAAACAGCAGCTATACATCTCTAGAAAATATGTCTCTAGAATGTTTAAAAAGGAAATTTCAATACACTACCAAATCAGTATCTACACAAACTCTAGAGCTGTACAAGGTAGTTCACACATGCTATTATTAATATAGCTGCTTAAAAGTCCTTAAAATTCCATAATGAATCACACTTACACAGTTTAAAATATATTTTTCCTTATGCGTTCATTTCCTAAGAACTCAAACAACCATGATAAATGTGAGGAATGTCCCTCTCACTGAAAGTTTTCACAGTCTCATAAAAGAAGCAGACATAAGTAATTACAGAACAGCCTGGTAAATTCCTATGTGAAGTGTTGAGGGCACTTTGAGGTGATACTGTGTTAGATGGAGGAAAAATACTTAGGCAAATCATGTGACGTGTTCATAATCATAGTCAGAGCACTTGAGGCAAGCACTGTTAAAATGAAGAAGACTAACATTTATGTTCCCAAGCATAAGCTGTGGACATTTAAATAATAACTCCCCATAGCCAATGGCATACATTACACTGTCACCAGAAGCATGCATGTATACACACACACACCATTAGGTAATGGCATGGTTTATAGATCAGGATTGTCTTGTATTTATAATGTGTGACTAGGAATGTTTTAGAAACCTTTTCATTTGGAATCTAAGTTTACTCCAAACATGAGGCTTCCCATTTTTCTGTCTAACTCACCCCTTTAGCCGTTCATCTGCTATTTCAAGAAAACACATACATGCAGCTCTGTTCTGAAACTTGCACTGTGGCAGTCAGTTTATATTAACAGGGTGAGGTTTCATACCTATTTCATAGTCCTCAAGTTGATAAATATTCTTCTTCCTTTATTTTCTATTTCTTGATTGAAATTTTGAAATATTCCCATAGGTGAGTGGGTGGATATGGAAAGTTACTACATATTTTATTGTATTACATTCTCTTTCCCTAGTTATTTTCCATAATTCATAGTCTTCCCCCCCCCCTTTCCAACTGCTGACTTATTTTGGCAGTCAACAGGAAGAACAGTTGGTACTGTCTGTGAGCACTGAAGAACAAATCTGTGAGACGCACTGGGAAGGAGGGAGCATGTCAACTATCTGTTCATCACTAAATGTGGTATGTCATTCATTGTGGGAATCTAAAGCCCACAGGCAAAATTTATACAACTCTGGTGTTCAAAATAAAACTCAAATATAGTGGTGACCAGCAATACTACACCAAGGATGAAATAATAATCACTTGTTGTTGTTGCGTGCTGTTGCACTGTCTACAACTTATAGCAATTCTATGAACAACTGTTCTGAACCTTGCCTTATCCTGAGTAAATCTCACCATCTCTGACACACTTGACTTTATTACTACTGTTACTGTGTCAATATTTCTCATTGAGTGCCTTCCACTCTTGTGCTGAACCTATACCTTTCCAAGTATAATGTCCTTCCTTAAGGATTATTCTTTTCTGATAACATGCCCAAAATATGTGAGATGGAGTTTCACCATCCTAAGTTCCAAGGAACACTCTGGTTTCACTTTCTCCAGGACAGACTTGTTTGTTCTCTTGGCTGGGGATCTAAAATATGGAAGAAGCACAGCATGAGAAGATGTATGAAATGAAAATAAACTCCCTGGATTCTAGTTTTCCACCCTTAGTTAAATGGAGATCCCGAAGAAGGGCACTGGAGAAAATAAACAAGACCTCTTATAGTGGCATTTCTAATAATTATGTAAGAACCTAAGTAGGCTTGTCCTGGGCATTATGTTAGAGTTGGGGGGTGTAAAGGAGATTTCTATCCTCAAGATTATAGTTACATAGAGTAGATAAACAGTGAACAAATTCTTGGAATAATATATGTTCAATGGAATGGTAGAGTTATATTCAAGGAAGGAATACAGCAGCAAAAAGGAGAAAATACTGAAGCAAGTCTGACAGGGCCAGGTAAGACTCCCAGAGAAGCATATAATCTAAAAATTTAAGGGTGAAGAATAAGCAGGAATATTCTATGCTATCTAGGGATGAAAGTAGAAGATGAATCTAAGATAATAAAACTAATGTATGAAAAGGCAAGTTACAGAAAAATATAGACCATCTGGGACATGGCTGTGCAGAAAGTGATTGGGATAAAGGTTACCTAACTGTGTGTGATAACATTATGAAGGTATTTCAGGAAAAGTATGGACAGATTCCTGCAATAGGAGACATAGAAAATTTAAACACTTTCTGTTATAAATTTTATAAAAATAGTTTTGGACTTTGGCAAGTGATTTAGAAGATTGACCAAGAAAATGCAGTCAAAGATTAATTTGGGCTTGGAAGATTCTGTATCTACTACTTATCTGTTAGTCAACTCTGATTTATCCTTTAAAAACATTAAAAAAACTAAAAAAACCCTCAAACATTTTGCTACTGCTACTGGAGTGAGATGGTATCTCATTGTGGTTTTAATTTGCATCAGCAAGTAATAAGTATGAGAGGCTGTGGCAAGATAAGAACTTTATGCACTGTGAGATTGTAAAATAATACAACTACTCTTGAAGGCAGTTTGGCTTTTCCTCAAAAAGTTGAACATAGAAATTACATATGACCCAGCTATTCCACTACTTGGATATACCCTCAGAAAGTTATTTCTGAGACATAAATGGATATTTGTACACCACTGTCCATAGCAGCATTATGCACCAGCACTAGAACATGGAAGCAGCCCAAATGCCCAACAACAATTGAATGGATTTAGAAATTATGGTACATTTACATGATGGAATACTATGCAGCATGCAGGAGCAATAATTTTGAAAATTACTACCTAACTTAGTAGGGACTGGACTGCCTAAGCCCATTATTGTAGAAATATAAAGATAAGTAGTAAAGCTTTGTTCACAATTGCAAAGAGTTGGAAATAATCTAAGTGCCCATCAACATAGAGAAGCTGTGGTATAGTCACATAATGGAATATTATGCTGCACTGAAAAACAAGGAACTCATGAAATATTATACAAAATGGGTGACCCTGCAGGACATTATTCTGAGTGAAATATCTCAGTAACAAAAGGATAAATACTGCATATTACCACTATTGTAAAACAGGACTGACATCGAGGTTGGAGGGAGACTGAGAAAGATGGGATAAATTATATATACTGCATTGAAACAGAGAGAACTGTTTAAAACAGATATATGATTAGGTATTATTGTCATGACAAGAGTCCAGAACGAAGGCTTCATAGTGGAGTGGACTTGGGGGAAGGGATTGTATAACAATGAAAGAATTTTTATTTTACTTTTCAAAGAGAAGAGGGAACTGGAAGGGAGTTTGGGCAAGGAGAAAAAGGCAACAATGAATGAATGAAAATCCAAAGTCTCTGTAAACTTTCATTAAAATTAATTTAAAAAATCCCATGTATGAGGATACAAGGAGGGGGAAGGGGGAGCAGAAGGATGGGGATTGCAGGGAGGTGGTAATCAAAGGGTCGCACAGTTTGATGTGTTGGGGGAGGGGTGGGCAA